TTATCATCACAAATACAACACAAATGTAACAAAGGCAACAGTAAAAATATTGGGTTTCTGTTGTGATGGTCTCTTGTGACGAGCCGATAGACAGAGAATGGAAGCAGTGAGCTTCCTCCCATATTTGGGCATACCAGGGGTTGTAACACATATATATAATGTATGTATGTATGTATGTATGTATGTATGTATGTATGTATGTATGTATGTATGTATGTATTTATGTATGTATGTATGTATGTAAATCATGTGGTCGTGAAGCAAATCGGCTCCTCCCCCCCAATTGGCTCCGTATGTCGGAAGCTGGCTGGGAAGGTCACAAGGGGGTGTGTCGCGTGACCCCCCTCAAGACACTCTAACCGTCATAAATACGAGTCAGTTGCCAAGCGTCTGAATTGCGATCGCATGACCAAGGGTCGTAAGTGTGAAAACAGGCCATAAGTCACGTTCTGATTGTAACTTAACGAATGGTTGTTAAGTGGAGGATTACCTGGAAAGGTACTCCTCCGCTTACGACCACAATGGAGACGAACAGAATTCATGTCGCGAAGTGAGACATTTGTTAAGCGGGTTGGGCTCCGTTTTATGACTCTTAAGCGAACCGCCGGAGTTGTTAAATTAGTCGCACAGTGGTTCAAGTGAATCTTTTCCCCGTTGACCTGGCTGGTCAGAAGGTCGCAAAAGGGTTTTGCGTCACTCTTAGATTTTTCGTCTTTTACTTAGAAATTCACCTCCTTTTTCTTCTTCTCCTCCTCCTCCTCTTCCCTGCTGCCTCAGCACCTTTGGAGAGCTGAAGACAGTGCGCCTTCCGAAGAAAATGTTCGGGACGGGAGCTCATCGCGGCTTCGGCTTTGTGGATTTCCTGACCAAGCAGGATGCGAAGGTGAGCAAACTCTTCCATGCGCATCCCCGTTCTTTGATACAGGGTGGTCTCGATACAGGGTGATACAAGTGTTGTGGCCCGCCAGGGGAGCTGGCAGCAGATTCAGACAGTGAGGAGGGTTGGGGAGGAACCTGGGCCAGTCCTGGAGTCTGGGGAAGGCTCGGACGAGGGCTCTGCGTCGGAGGCAGAAAGGGGGACGAGGCCGTCTGGCAGTTCTCAGCTGCCATCGGAGCTAGACAGCAGTGAGGCAGAAGAACAGCTGGAGCCTGTTCTCAGTGTGCGCATGCGCAGAGCTGCCAGACGAATAGAATAGCTAAGAAATTGGGGTTGACTTGGGAGTAAAGCCACAGGTGGATGGTGAATGGCCCCTCCCATAGGAAGTAAAAGAGGAGCGAACGGGGAGGGGGCTTTTGCAGGAAACAATTCATTCAGTCGGTCGTCGATTTCAGGAGTGTGAAGATCTGTCCCTGAATCTCAGAGACTCTGTGCCCAGCCTTCTCTTACACAGCACCTCCTTTGGAAAATATTTACATGACAGCTTTCCAAGCTAGATAAGGTCTGTGATCATAACTTCACCTTTGAAAGACTGTTTACTGGGCCTTGGCTGAATGTGAATGAGAGGAATTCACATTCGTTTCATAAAAGGGGTTTTGTCGGGACCAGGAATCTGCTTCATGGTTTTTGGGGAAGCCAAGGTCAGAAGGTGGCTTACAACCGCAGCTGAGCTCAAAATGTCTGCGACTAAGCACGGCGGCTGTTAAATGAGATTTGCCCCACTCTACGACCACATATGTGCTAGTCGTTCCCGACTCTAGGGGGAATGAAGAAGAATGGAGGAAGAATGAGGAGGGAAACGAAGAAAGGGTAAAAGCAGAGGAAGAATAAGGAGGGGGATTAAGAGTAGGAGAGAGGGGAAGGAGGAGGAGAAGAGGGGAGAGGAATTAAGAGTAGGAGAGAGGGGAAGGAGGAAAAGAGAGGAGGCGTGGGGGAAAGAGGGGAAGAAGAAAGGAGGAAGGATGAGGAGGGAAAGGAAGAAAGGGTGAAAGCAGAGGAAGTAAAGGAGGGGGATTAAGAGTAGGAGAGAGGGGAAGGAGGAGGAGAAGAGGGGAGAGGAATTAAGAGTAGGAGAGAGGGGAAGGAGGAAAAGAGAGGAGGCGTGGGGGAAAGAGGGGAAGAAGAAAGGAGGAAGGATGAGGAGGGAAAGGAAGAAAGGGTGAAAGCAGAGGAAGTAAAGGAGGGGGATTAAGAGTAGGAGAGAGGGGAAGGAGGAGGAGAGAGGAGGCGTGGGGGAAAGAGGGGAAGAAGAAAGGAGGAAGGATGAGGAGGGAAAGGAAGAAAGGGTGAAAGCAGAGGAAGTAAAGGAGGGGGATTAAGAGTAGGAG